ACCTTTGTTGAAACTGTTTCCATTTCTTTTTCGTCCTTTATATGTGCAAAATATAGTAGTAAAGTGCAACATATGGTGACTAATCGATTTCATTTCAAAATGCACCTGCTTTAACAAGGTCGATAATTACCGCGGTATTCACCATTTATGAAAAACTGACGTGACTAAAATTTTTTAATACCCGTGAAATACTTTCATGAATATAAACTATTATCGACCGAAATATCTCACCATTTATTTATATGATTATATAACAGAAATACAGATACCATGTAGAGGTCATGGTGGCAATTAAAGCTGTTTGAAACTGGTGAAAAATGTTGATTTTTTCATTAAAAATGAATGAACATTTGGCAAAAGTTAATTTTGTTTGTTTTTGTTTGTTTTATTTAACGACATATCAAATCCTTATGAGTAATTTAATGCCAAAATTTTCTTAAATCTGTGTTGTTAATAACATCCTTTCGATTGTTGTGCCCTTAATTTTTTTTTTTTTTTTGCTTGTTATAAAATTCTTTTTGGGGGTATTTCGAACTGAACCTTTTATTTAATCATTTTTGGTAGAATGTTCTTGTTCCGCTGACTTTGTTTTATGATATCTATTTTTTGTTTTTATTTAGTACCGTCCGCCCTGGAGGAATCAAGAAATGTGGTTCTACAGAAACATACTGAGAATTCTATGGACAGAGTGAGTAATCAATTATGAAGTCTTAAAAAAAAAGGTAATAAAAAAGAACACATGCACAGAATTAGGAAGGGAGATCATAAATGTCTTGGACACATAATGAGGAAAGAGGACTTGGAAAATTTAAAATTTTCAGGGCGTATTGAGAGTTAATGCGATACATCGAAAAGGTAGCTAACCACCTACCTGGTGAATTTTGTGGGACTGGATGGCGGAAATGGAGGCGGAGACTTAAAAATCGAGAAAACTTTTAAGATCCACAAGGGATTTGATTTTTTTTCAGAGCCATGATCGTTCTTGTCTTTAAAAACACGGCACATAGAAGATTTCTCTTGATACTATGTCTTTTACCAGGCCCAGAGATTGAAAAAGGGGAAAAAAAATAATCTACTAGATTAAATAAAAGGTTCAGTTCAAGTTTCCTGAAGAAAGCCTGAGGGTACAGCGACTGAAAGGTCGTGAAAATAATGATTTAAAGATGAGGATAATAATATGAATGTAAACAAATGTAAATAATTTAAATCTCTAAATGGTAATTAATAATAGTCTTTTCTTATATTAAAACATTCGGTATTCATTGATCAAATATCCCTGACTATTATCGGTTGAAATTTATAAAATCTTTTTTTCACCCTAAAATGCAGCCCATTATATGTTTAGTTAATTATCTCTAATAGTAAATTTGTTTTAAACCGATCCATACAAATATTTTAGGTATTTAAAGTGTTTAGTGTTTACTAATTCCACATCCTGAATTTATATGATGGATTTGGAGTAATGCCATTTTACGTTCTTTCCAGTTCCAGGTCAAATTTAATGGTTTCTGTTATTTGGTACAGTTCTTTGTTTTCATTTTGTAGGCAAGTCCTCAAGTTTCGAAAAAGATGGTCCTCTCTTAGACATATAGGCTCCATTTGCTCGAATCAATTTTAACCATTGATCTTAGAAAGCGATTGTAAACAGCTGACATTTTATATATTTCTGAACGAGTTTGGCGCCAAGTATGGCATCCATATGAAAGTCTCGATCTGACGAGACTATTTAAATAAATTATTCGAATTTTCAAGTTAATGTTTTGGTTTTGTAAAAATTTGCAGTGCTGGGCTAAACTATCTCTGGCGCAGCATATTCCATGTTCAATTTCCTTTTCTCCTATACTAAATCTGTTCTAACTCATCCATAAACCGAGGTATTTGAACTGTTTAGTATTTATTAATTCCACAGCCTGAATTTTTATGATGGTTTCAGGGTATGTTGTTTCACTGATTTCATTTCAATTCCAGATCATAATTTCTGTTTTGAAAAGGTTTATCTTGAGTCAGTGGCGTAGCTAGAGGGGGGCGGACCGCTCCGGGTGCCAGCACAGGAGGGGTGACACAATGTCACCTCCAACAAAATTTTTCCACCAGGCTAAGTTGCCAAAAATAGTCTGAAAACAGTGGTGGAGACACAGGGTTTCGCAGGCGGGCATATGACCCCCCCCCCAGAAATAATTTATAAATAATTTATGACCAAGAAATAATTTATGACCCCCCAGTTTTATCCCCCCGTCAGAAATTTTCTAATAAATTGTCGGGAAATTTGTGAGTAGGAAAAATAGCAATGTTTTCAGCTTTCATGTGTTTCAGTTGCTACAATCTTGGTTACTAACAACAGACATTGTTGTAACATTTTATCGGATGATATGGTGTTTTAACTCTGCATCATTAAAAACAACAAAACGAAATACGAAGCCAAAAGTGCAACAATTTCAGTCTTGCCTGTGTATCAATTCGCTGAGATACAATTTTCCATTGAGTGAGCAATATACTTTTTGAATATATCTACTAGTGTTGAGACGATTAATCGGAATCGGAAAATCGGAAAATTTTTTTGGGTATCGGAATCGGAATCGGAAAATTTGTGCCTATTTTCCGATTCCAAAAACGATTCTTTTAAATTTTAACTTAATTTTCCATTATTGGTACTAATGATAAATATTTATTGTTTTTAAATTATCACTAAAACTAAAATCATAATAACATCAACATACGATGTAAATTTATTTTACTTGTATAAAGAAAAACCAAAAAGTAAACTTTGCATAAATTCTCTAGGTAACCTTTATCTAAAAGAATGCAGTTAATTTACAATGTTCCGAAAATGCTTAAAAATTAAATAGAGCATTTTTGTCAAGAAAAATACTTTCAAACATCATTGATAATTAAATGGTACCCAGAAAATGATGCAACGGAAAATTGGACACCGGAAAATTAGCAACAGAAAATTACATCAACCATGAGCCAGTCGAGACTGTCGGATCTGACTGTGCTGTCCATTGAAAACGAGCTTACAAGACAAACAGATTTTGACGATGTCATTGACCAATTTGCTACAATGAAAACAAGAAAACATTCATTCTAAGACCATAGTATCGAATGTCATTCTTTTGTGTATTGCCGTGTTTTGTATTTAGTTGTTCTGAAAGTGAACAGTTGCATTTTAAAAATCTTTTGATTTGAACTGATTATTTTGTGGTATTGGATTTTGTCTTGGATCATACATATAAACAGTAACGTACCGGTCAGTAGAGTAAAGTAGAGGTAGAGCATGTATGAAAATTTAGCAACAGCTAACCATTTAGCATAGGGTGAATCGGGGTCATTGGGGTGACATTTGAGCGGATCGCCCCGGGTGACGTTTACTCTAGCTACGCCACTGTTTTGAGTCCCATTTCTTTGAACACTTGATAGAGGAGGTTGATTTTCTGATCAAGATCATTCTTATCCCAACTATGAATACTTATGTCATCAGCATAGCCCCCTTTAATACATTAACCTCGGGAGAGAAATCAGATTCATTTTCTTCTATTGGTAGATTAATTTGGAATGTGCCCAACATCAAATTCTGGACTTCTTTCATCAACTTTTATCACTCTTTCCAGTACTGATGGGGTTTTCCTTCGTAAAGTTCTATTGGAAATGGTGTGGAATGTTAATATCTTGATTATGTCATTATTTTCTCTTCAAGTTACATGTGCTATCCATTTTAGTTGTTGCTGTTGTTGGTAGTCCTCAAATGATGTGGCTTCTGTTATTTCGTACAGTTTTTGTTTGTGAATCTATAGTACCAGTCCACAATATTCAAAGAAGGATGATCTTTGCCAAGATCAAGCAGTTGTATACAGCTGAGGGTTTTGATATTTCTGAACAAGTTTGACGTCATGTATATCGATCTGACGAGGCTATTTAAGAACATGATTCGAGTTTTCAGGCTAATGTTTTGATTTTGTAGCAGCTTGCGATGTTGGATGAAACTACCCCTAGCACAGCCTATTCAATGTTCAGTTTTCTTATATCCTATACTAAATTTGTTATAACTTATCCATACACCGAAGTAAGTGTTTAGTATTTACTAAAATCAATCATTAATCAGAAAGAGACGAAGGAAGTATTTACAAATTCTACATCCTGATTATGATTCAGCGTAGGTGAATTATGATTCAGCGTTGGTGCCGTTATTGCTTGCTTTCTAATAATGGTGCCGAAATACTCTAATGAAGTTCTTCAATCTGAACGAAATAGTGCACAAAAATCTTAATTTATACGTAAAATTGAGGACATAATACATATAAAGTATTTTAAATGGCGCTAAAAACATTATAGAATATAATTTATGACTAGCTAAATAACAAAATTAAGTAGCAATTATGTGACGCGTTTCGTCCTTCGAAAAGACTTCTTCAGACTAAAGACTGAATGAAATTGGCTAGACGGCATACTCAGATACATCTAAAAAGGAAAAAAAAAAGATTTTAAAGTTTAAAATTTCAGCGTTTCCTGTCGGTGCAAAATTATAACTGACACTTGAGTTTTAATATTACTAGTCCACATCCTACACATATATAATTCCATTAATGAAAACATTGCTTTAGACCGATTAAGTCCTAAAGGACGAAATGCGTTGCACAATTTTTTTTCACTTTGTCATTCATTTGCCTAAGATTCAATAACGCTTTCTTTATTCATGCAATCATATATATGTAAGGGAACGAAAAGAAAGGCAACAAATGTTGGTTATAATTATACATAGAGAGAAAAGCTGAAGATGCTGGGGTGCTTACTTTAAATTGAAAATTGGTGGCGTTTGATCTATCATGATAATGGAACCGACTTGATACAGCTTCCAACCAGTTTTTCTTCTCTTTTTCTTCTTCTTCTATTTTGCCCCATGTCCCTTCAGGACGTTGGTTATCATGGCTCTCTACATCATCCTGTCCGTTGTAGCTCGTAATAAATTTTGTCATTTACTTTAAATTTAAAATTGGTGGAGTTTGATGCATCATCATACTGAAACCGAATTAATAGAGCTTCCAACCAGTTCTTCTTCTTCTTGTTTTTTTTCTCTTTTTCTTTTCTTTTTTTCATTTTTTTCTTCTTTTCTTTTTTTCACTTTTTTCTTCTCCTTCTTTCTCCTTTATTTCTTTTTTTTTCATTTTTTTGTCTTTTCTTTTTTCCACTTTTTTCTTCTCCTTTTTTCTGCTTTTCTTTTTTCACTTTTTTCTTCTCCTTTTTTCTCCTTCTTTTCTTTTTTTTCATTTTTTTCTTTTCTTTTTTTCACTTTTTTCTTCTCCTTTTTTCTCCTTTTCTTTTTTTTCATTTTTTCTTTTCTTCACTTTTTTCTTCTCCTTTTCTTTTTTTTCATTTTTTCTTTTCTTTTTTTCACTTTTTTCTTCTCCTTTTCTTTTTTTCTTCTTTTCTTTTTTTTCACTTTTTCTTCTCCTTTTCTTTTTTCACTTTTTCTTCTTTTCTTTTTTTCACTTTTTTCTTCTCCTCTTTCTTTTTTTCACTTTTTTCTTCTCCTCTTTCTTTTTTTTTCATTTTTTTCTTCTTTTCTTTTTTTCACTTTTTTCTTCTCCTTTGTTCTCCTTCTTCTTTTCTTTTTCTTCTTTTTTGTACCATGTCCCTTCAGGACATTAGTTATCATGGCTCTCTACAACTTCCTTCTTTTGTAGCTCTTAATAAATTTTGTCTTTTTTTTTCTATCTCTCACAAACCCTGGTCTGCCATCCATTCACTCAAGCACGCTAGGTAGATTATGCGTTGTTTTCCTTTATCCTACTTGCTTCAAGTTTCTTCTTTATCTGTGAGGGGATTGCCAAGCATTCATTGCCATATAGGAGTATTAAAAGTACAAAATGGTTTAGCCCTCTTTATTTCGAATGAAATATTAATACTTTGCTTGGCTTTTGAAAGATATTTATTCCAATGTATCTTCGGATTTCCGTGTCACATTTTCCATCTAGGAGGAAAAAGAATTGAATTCAAATCCCCGTAATTTATGGTAAATGATCAAATTTTGATGCTGGATTTCTGGGTCTTATTTTTCTTGTAATAACTACCGTTTCACAAACAATAATGTTTGCTTTGTCAGGGGCGTTGCTTCGAGGTATTACCATTAACCACTGTTCTGATCTTGGAGAAGACAAGATACACAAATCTTATTTTGGTCATCATAATTATGACTACAATCTGTTACAGTACTTTTACTATTTTCAGAAAAATTTGGGGGAAATTAAAAATATTAACTTAAACTATTATTTTGTAAAAATTACATTGTGCTTCTAAAAATGTATAAACCTTATATTCTAAGGTCTGGGGATTTAGGATTTAGGATTAAGAATTTTAAAGTGTGTATAAATGTGGAAAATTGACATATTACTTTCCGTTGTCTCTAAGGAATTACATGGTTCCAAAGGATTTCCAAATTGTTTCACTGGTTAGGGTCTGTTTTATGTTGAAGTTACATAGTGAACTGAACCTCCCTCATTAAAATTTTTGGATAATCGAATTTTATTCTTTTTTTTTGGGGGGGGGGAATCAATCACCTCCCCCACCCACTGCATAAAATACGATTGTCGAAACAAAATTAATCAGCTTAATATTTTACAGTATATTTTAAAAAGCTATTAAACTGCTTAATTTTTTGTTTTACATTTTTAACAACAATAATGCTAATAAAATTCAACATATTTTTTTAAATATGTAAATATTTTTTAAATCAATATTTGTTATGAGGACTAATATCATAGAAAAAAATACTAAATTAAATTTTTATTGAAATTTTTTCAAAAGCGCAAATTTCTGTATAGTCATTTTCTTAAAATTAGCCTTGCAAAAAGTTACATTCATTTTTTTTTTGTTTTCTTACGAAGATGTTATCAACATTCTTCACTTCACCTGTTATAAAGAAAACACAAATTGTTCCTTAGAAAATGAATTTTTTAATTAAAGTATTCTTTATTATGAAGAATAATAGCATAAAGAAAAATAATTATCTTTCTGTGAGAAAATTCTTAATAATGACATTTTTTTGTGAATTTCTCCGTTTAAAATAATCAAAAAAATGTAAGCAAGAAAAACGATATTGACAAGACAATAAGGTCTTCTTTACATTTTTGTTGTATATTTTTAATAGGTGTAAAATATTAAATTTATTGATTTTAATTTTTGACATTAACTTTGGGATAAGTTCTTTAATAACTATCATTTTCATTAATTTTGCAGTTAAAAACATTATCTTTGTTTTAAATGTCTTCTATTTATTTACGAATGACAGAAAACTTCAACATACTTTTAAAAAGAACAATACCTGTTAGTTTTGTTAAAGCAAAACATAAGTTACTCATAAAAATTACTTTATACCCAATATAATCATTGTTGAACAATAGCATAGAGAAAAGATTAATTTATATTAACTTTTTATTTTCGTAATAAAATTATTTATAACACTTGTGAAGATAAAATGTTGCAAGTTCAAATATTTTTTACTTCAGTATCTTGAATAATAAACTTAATTTAAACCAAAGGTAAAAAGTAAAAAACTCTTTAAAAATACTTAATTTCTTTATCCAATTCCAGCAACGAACTTTCGCGTGTTGACAGATGACCGCCCAGACATACACACGCTGTATAGGCCTGAGTTAAGGATCGCCTTGATATGTCAACATAAAATGTGCGATGTATAAATTGTCGTTAAAATTACACAAGAATGAAAATAACGCTGACATCTCATTTTAACAAATATATTTACCAAAATTACACAAAAATATCTTGAAATACTAAATTTATTCAATAAAATCGTTACTGGCTTCAACCGCGGCGTCCAGACGACCTTCGGAATCTCCTGCAATTCTTCTGGACTGTCTCCTTGTTGTTTTATTGAAGTTGGTGAATGCTGCCATTATCCTTGCTTTCAGTTCATCTTTGGTCTTACAAGGAGTTTTGTTGGTCTCTCCCTCAACTGTGCCCCACACATAATAATCAAGGGGGTTGCAGTCTGGGGGATTAGGTGGCCAGATGTAAGGGGTGATGTGATCGCAGAAATTGACTGACAGCCATAACTGGGTTCTTCTGCTTGTGTGGTACGGTGAAGATTCCTGTTGCTAGACACAGTGTCTTCCAGCATCCACCCTCTTTACACAAGGCAGCACTACCTCCTCAAGGCACTTGATGTAGGCCTCTGTGTTAAGTCTGAGGTCCTGTGGGAAGATTAATGGAGGTATAATGTCGCCATTACTAGTGATCACTCAAAACATCTTCCTAATCACCATTAGACTCATTCAACTCTTTCCGGATCCTCAGATTGACACCCAAACACTTTGTATTGGAGCTTCCGGCGCGAATGCCAAGCAGTACATCAGGCTATTTCTAAATTTCTGGCGGGATGCATTGCCTCATGGTGCTATTTTTCTCACGGTCAGTGCCCAACTGATCCTACTATACTGTGCAGTCAACGTCATCAAAAAGAAAAAACGAGCATGCGCGAAATTAAAAATATAAAATGGCGACAATTTACCCATCTCACATTCTATTTTGTGTCCCCAAAACGCCAATTGTTTATGAGGTTCGTTTATAAAAATTATGAAAAGAAATTAGGCAATTTGAAACAAGATGATAAATAATTGTATAATGAGTTTCATTTACGTACCTGGAAATATTACTATAAATAAAATTCAGCTTTCTTTTATGTGTTTTGACACATGCAGTGCTTTTAGAAAAGATCAGAAGTAAAATGAAATTAAAATCGCCTTGTTGACCGGCGCTTAGGAAACGCTGTCTGCATCACAAACAAGGGAATAAAAGTTATCCCCGAAAAAGCCACCTTCTGGGTTGATAAGTGAAGATTCGGGTATAAATCATGTCATTGTTTACCTTTTTTACTCTTTTACTGCATTTTTTTTTACTTTGATGCAAACCAAATCTATGGTTTGGCATGTAAACCAAATCTATGGCTCGGCATGTAAACCAGACCTATGGTTAGGCATAGGTCCGGTGTAAACCGCACCTATATATGCCTAGTGTAAACCAGACTTTTTGACTCAAGTGTAAATCAGTCCCGTCTATCTTTTTTGACTCGAGTTTAAACCAAACCTGAGTCTACCTTTTTTGACTCGGTTCTATATATATATATATATATATATATATATATACTTATTGACACATGAATAAACCGGAGATATGTCTGTCTTTCTATTAATTCCCTACTATTTTCGTCCTAGAAAACTTCTACTTAACTTTTGATAACTCAAAAAGACTTGATATATCGTTAAATTAACCTACGTAATCTAATAAAAAATAAACTTGAAAATAATATTCAGGATTTGTCTTTATTCAAATATCTTAGTCACTTTCACTTTTTGGAAGTTTTTATTACTCACAGTTATGAGTGGGTGGCTTCAGCCTGGTTAGGAAACTAGTGGAATTGACCATTAGAAGTGAGTTCGATATTTACTGGGTCCCCCTAACATGTGCGTGATTGTCAAGCTAAACTTAATAAATATCTCATCGAGCACCAGAGTGAAGTCCTTGTTAACAATCTAACCTGGTTGAATATTACTACTTAATTGATAATGTGATCCTCAATACGTTGGGCCTTATGCCAAACTAAGCTGAGTGTAGCAAATAACAGCGCTCTACTTAATAAATCTGGTCGTTCCTAAAAATTTTAGCATATCCTTATAAACTGCGCCTCTAAACCTTTTCAATACAATTAAAAAAAGTAAAAGAAAAAGAAAGGAAAAAGAAGTTCGCACGTCAATTTATAGTGCTTCGTTTAAGCGACATTTTTCGACTTTACGGAAGAAAAACATTCTTTGCTGTAGCTGCTATGATCTGCAGTAAAAATGCATCCTCTCTCCGTCACATAGCTTATTACAGTCTATTGCTACAATTGTTCTATTTTGTTATTAGTTATCGTTGTTAATCTCGACTAGCGCCTAATAAGCTCTACGGTAAGAACCAATCATCTGTCCGTCACATAATCTTATTACAGCATATTATTATATTTTATTATTAATTATTGAATTATTAAATATTTACGCTAAGAACGAGTGTTCTGCCCATCACATAACTTTTATTATTGTCTATAGTTTTCATTTTTCTATTTTATCATTAGTTATTGTTAATCATTTAATTTAGAATAATTAATTTAAAAAATTTAATCACAATTTAAATTGATAATTTATATGTTAGTTATACATATATAGGTAAAAACCTTATATGGTTCGACTATTTGCGGTTCCATTAGAATAAGGTGACTCTATATATATATATATATATATATATATATATATATATATATATATATATATGGGTGTGTGTGTGTAGTCACCTTATTCTAATGGAACCATCAGTATTATGTGTGTGTTATTGATTGGTTTGAAAGACGAGTGACTTTAGTATTAAATATCATCTAAAAACAGAAGGTCAATTTATTTGAAAGACGCAATTCATAAGATGATCCAGAGATGAATATCAAATTAAAGGTTTGGAAAGCAACTGTGATACATTTGTCAAAATGTGTACACAGGTGACACGGATGACTTACTTTATTTTGGACTTGAGAGCGCTAAGGTAATCTATCATTGAATGCGTCGATTAACTTTTTATAATCTCGAATTATACCCCCTTTTAAGGCAAATGAGAAAATATTACATGGTTCTGATATAGTCAA